GTTTTTGCCTAAGACAATGTAGATTTTAAAATCAGAGAAACACAGGGAAATGGAACTTTTTGGTAGAATGAACCAAAATAGTTATTTAAGGTGGATAATAGAAAAGTTTAGTTCCCCACAGCAGGACGGTAGTAGAGACCTGTCAGTGATCCCAACACTGGAGAAAAAATCCAGGCAGCTGCTTGTTGAGATCAAGGGCAGCCCCCACCAGCCCACTGCAGTGGGTTTATACTATTTTAATAAAAACTTTTTATTCATATTATAGTCATATAGTCTCATACACTCATATTTAACCATTTTTATCACTTTAACAATTGTGAATGAACTTTGAATTTATAAATGCCTTATTTATCTATTTATTTATTTTTAAAGAAACAAATGGCAAAACTCCACCAGGGGGAACCTAGCCTCCTCCCCAAATAATTAGCAGGAAAAGATTGGAGCATTTTTTTGTTTGTTTGTTTGTTTTATTTAAGATTATGACACATTATTTGTTATTTGTTTTTGAGTTTTTATTTTTATTTCAACAATTTTAGCCAAGTTTGAGCTGGAAATTTGGGCTGGATTTTGGAATGGTCTCATAATTGGGAGCCGATGCCTCTGCAAAGAGGTCAGTATTGGCTCTAGAATTAACTTTTGGCTTTTGAAAAACAGTTTTACTATCCCAATAATCCTGATCACTTTTTTTTTTTTTTTTTTTTTAATATTGCAGGCTATTTTTTCTTTTACCTTTTGTTTTGCATGTTTTATTTTTGCCTCCAGCCAGGCAAAAACGACCTATTTGTTCAGGCAATTGTTTTATTAATATGGGGCTGTCAGCTGAGTCCTCTTTGATGTTATTTAGGGATACAGACAGCCATAAGTTTTTGAGTTTTTTATTTATTTATTTATTATTTATTTATTTTTTTATTTTTTTTTAGACCCTTGATTTAGTGCCACGGGGGAAGCATTTAAGGGAACTTTCATGAACAAGATTTTTATGTGATGCAGTTGTAGGTTTAGTAACGACTGGAAAAAGAGTGGTGGCTGGGCGGGAGAGCAGAAATTCCTTTAGAGAAACGCTGTATAGGAGGCTGATCAGGATGATATACTGCCAAAATTCCAGAGGAGGAACCGTCAGTAAAAACAACGGCAGCTCCGGGCAGAGGCTGCGAGGAAACAATTTTTGGAAAAGTTAAAGCAGTTTCCGTCGCAAATTTTAAAATAGGGTGCTGTGGCAGGTGGAATTTGACCTGACCAGGAAAATTGAGCAAGGCTATGCCCCAGTCATCATCATTTTGAAGCAGAAATTCAAACTGTGTTCTAGTATATGGGACAACAATAGTGGCAGGAAGTCTGGCAAACAGTTCTTTAGAACGTGTCAATCCTTTCATTATCAGAAATGCACACATAGATGTATAAGATGTAACCATTTTTGTTTGATTGTGTGCTAAATAAAGCCATTCAAGAATACCTGATTGCCACAGGCAGGCAGTAGGGGTGAATTCAGTTTTAAGGACAAGTAATTCCCATGGTGATGAATAATCAATTTGAGAAACTTAGCTTCAGAAAGTTTTTGTTCAACCAAATGCAGTTTTGAGAGAGCCTCGGGTGTCAAGGACCTAGGTGATTTAGGGTTAGGATCTCCCTGTAATATCTGGAAAAGAGGGTGTAAATCACCTGTAGTAATTTTAAGATAAGGACGAATCCAATTAATGTTTCCAAGCAATTTTTGAAAATCATTTAATGTGGAAAGTTTATCAAGGCGGATTTGAAGATTTTGAGTCATGATGAAATCATCATGAATGGTTTTTCCCAGATAGTTAAGTGGTCGATCACGCTGAATTTTGTCAGGAGCAATGACAAGACCAAAGGAGGTCAGGTCAGTAATTACACATTGTAAAAGCGTCTCCACACCTTCCTTAGAGGAGTGGCTCAGGAGAATGTCATCCATGTAATGAATGATATATGCATCAGGAAATTTATGTCTGGTAGCTTGTAAAGCCTGATCAACAAATTTTTGACATAAAGTAGGAGAATTTTTCATGCCTTGAGGCAGGACTTTCCATTGAAAGTGTTGCCAGGGTTGGCTAAAATTAGCAGATGGAACACTAAAGGCAAACCGAGGAGAATCATCAGGGTGTAGTTTAATGGTGAAAAAGCAGTCCTGCAAATCGATAATTATGATATGATTTTGTTTTGGAACAGCTACAGGGGAGGGGAGTCCAGGTTGAAGCGCTCCCATATCATGCATAGTGTCGTTAATTGAGCGGAGGTCCTGAAGAAGCCTCCATTTTCCTGACTTCTTTTTAATTACAAAGACAGGCATGTTCCACGGACTGTTAGAGGGCTCTAAATGCCCTTTTTGTAATTGGTCAGAGACAATGTCATGTATAGCCTGGATTTTGTCAGATGTAAGGGGCCATTGAGGTATCCAGACAGGATCATTGTTTTTCCAAGCGATATTATCAGCAAATAAATTTTCCGCAATGGCCCCTAAGAAAAAGCCGGTTCATCAATTAAATCAGGAGCGGTGAGAGTTAACCCCATAGATTCCATCACATCACGGCCCCATAACGAAAAGGGCAAGGAAGGAATCACATATGGCTGAAAGAGACCAGAATGCTCATTCATTTGCCAATGTAAAACCTGAGAGCTTTGAGCTACATTGTCTGCCATGCCTAAACCAATTAAAGTAGATGAGGAATTAGTAATGGGCCATGAAGGGCATAGAATTCTTGTACTTCTTTTCCTACTTTTTTCTAGGTTTCTAGTGATAAACTGTCTTCTTCTGGAAACCATGGGCATACCCATATTATAAATTCATAAAGTTACAACAAATCTTTTTTATTTACTTTAATACCATGTGCTTCAATCATATTTTTCAGTATAGAAAGAAAAAGATCTCTGTTTTTGGTCTGTTGTTGACCCATGACCTCGTGGTGCTTTGTTCACTCACACAAGATCTTTATTTCAACTGTGCTGTCCGGCCCGTGTCCCTCGCGGGAACTTGCGGAGGCGTCTTAGCTAAGGTCTGTCCGTATAAACCCCGGACCAGGCTGCTCCAAGGAGCAGATGACCGTTATGCCTTATGACGTCCTCCACGGGAACCGCGGGTGCAGCCCACTCAGACTCCGTAGCCCTAAGGCCGTGGAGCCGTATTCATGCACTCTCACACACACTCAGCACCACGAGTATGTTTTCCAGTTTAGAAAAACTTCTCACTGTCTCAAACTGATCACCCTTTATCAGCGAGCTCCGGACGCCCCAGTGAGGATTCTATCCCTGACTGTCTAAAAAAGAAGGGTATTTTAGGAGAAATTCACTCACACACTCACACAAGAAGGAGATAGCTTACCCAACGCAACCTCTTCGTTACTTACCTCTCCTTTGGGTGAAAACAATGAAATGAAGGTCGAGCCCCACGTTGGGCGCCACCTGCCGCGGACCAGCACAGCGATGGACGATGAGGCCGTCTCAGGGTTGAGAGACTGCGCAGGGTGGTCAGGGATTCGATGAATAAATGACACACAGACACACTTCAAGAGAGTGAAAATCTGAGTGCGTCTTTATTAAGTTAGTGGTCAGTATATATATGTTTTTCTAAAAGCATCAAAGAGATCAGTTTGCTCATAAATTTAGCTTAATTGACAGGGCAGTGATTTATGTCCGAAGTTACATCTAGCCTCATTCCTAATTTGGACAGGCTATAAATTCTTTTTACTGTTCTATATAATTATTTTCTAGTTGCATTAACTATCATAATTAATTGTCATGGGTGAATTTATTTTATAATGCAGTTAATATCAAAGGTACTAAAGTTAAGCACATAATAGAAAGATTATTAAACTAACAATTCTATTATAACACAGTGTTTAGTAATGTTTCATTTGCATTAACCTAATTATTAAATTAGGTATGTTTTTTAATTAGCAATCAATGACCAGAAAAAGGAAAGATTTTAGAGAGACAGTTGTAGCAGAATAAAGTTTATGGGCCTTGAGAAAGCGAGATAAGGTTCCAAGTGGTCAGCATTTCTTTTAATCATCTTTGTGGCAGCTTCTGGTGGTCATTATTTCTTGACAGGCATTCGGCTTCTCTGCATCTTAGGGAGTTTGCTGTTCTCCCCCTGCGCGCATGGTTCCTTGCCCACGCCGGACCTCAGGGACCATGGCAACAGCCATTAGCCCTGAGGGTCACTGCAGGGGGGGGTGCAGCAGCTTTATCCCTAAAATGTGGGATAGCAGGTGTCTTGAATATTTCAGCCTCGGCCTTAGTAGTAGCCTTTTCTACGAGAAGACACAGGTGATCTGACTGTTTTCTTCTCCCCTGGCTCAGGCTGCAGTTCCGTATTGAGAGCCTCTGACTCAAGCCTGTAATCCTCACTTTGCCCTCTTGCTTCTGTAACTCCCCAAGGGCGCCCTGGGCATCAGCTCTGCCCTCTTGTGTTCAGTGCAGTGCTGGCTGGAGATTCCTGTGTTGGTGGGTGCCCTGATTCAGCAACTTTAGGGGGCTCTGCTCAGCAGCTGGGTTGTACTGCCCCTGGGTCGCTATAAACACAGTTCACCTAAAATTTTCCTTACCCCTGTCCACCAGACCATGGTTGCTAGTATGTGTTCTTGTCATGTGTTTTTCCCCAGAGCTTCTGGCTGCGCTCTGCTACCGTCTAGCTGTGAGCATAGGGAGGAGGCGAGACAGATGTCTTCACTCTGCCACTGTCGTGCGGGACTCCCCCCATCACCATGTCTTGGCAAGCCTCTTTGTCATTTGGGTTGAACCCGAAAGTTCGCCAGTATCTAGATCTACAGACGATACTCTTCGAATACATTCACTTCATTTTTGACAGTTTGCTTTCTGCAAAAATCATTTACAAGCTTGCCTTTGTCAGATTTGCCCTCATTTCCTGTCACACTGTTGGCCTTTTCTGGTGCAGTGTGGCTTCCTGAAGGGTTTCTCCACTCTCTTCCCTTTTTCTCCAAACAGCCTCTCTTAACTGTATTTGATGTTCTTGCCTTTTCCAGGAAGCTTCTCCAGTTAGCCCCATGCCTGTGTTGTCTGGGATTCATCTCAACAGCTTACGTCCTGGCTTTTCAAGCAAGAGAAGGAAGAATAACTTCCCTGGATTCTTGGGGAAAGGAGAAGGACCGTATCTTCCTATGAGCAAAGGTTTGTGGTTTCTCCAATTCCAAATATGTGAAATTCACCTATGTTATGTTTTTTTTTTTTTTTTTAAGATTACTTTTTATTTATTTATTTATTTATACAAGCACTGGGCACAGTCAGAAGCACGGGAGGGTGAGAGAATTCACCAGAGCCAGAGCGGGGAGCAGAGCAGGCAGAAGGACCGAGTACACTGCTGAGGGGAGCAGCGGGCGGCAGGAGAGGTCTGCGCGCCATGCGGGACCCTCCTCCGGTGGCCGGGGAGCAGCCGGGGACCGAACCGGCGCCGCAGAGGCCGCGGGCAGCTTCGCAACCCAGCGCTCAACCGCTGCGCCAGCGGGGAGGCCCTCACCTATGTTATGTTTTGCCCTCTCGCATAAACTACGTTAGAGTTCATTTTGTCCTCTTTTCCAAGTTAATAAAGTAAATTTCTTTTTTTTTTTTTTAAAGATTTATTTATTTATTTATACAAGCACTGGGTACAGTCAGAAGCACGGGAGGGTGAGAGGATTCACCAGAGCCAGAGCGGGGAGCAGAGCAGGCAGAAGGACCGAGGTACACTGCTGAGGGGAGCAGCGGGCGGCAGGAGAGGTCTGCGCGCCATGGGGGACCCTCCTCCGGTGGCCGGGGAGCAGCCGGGAATCGAACCAGCGCTGCAGAGGCTGAGGGCAGCTTCGCAACCCAGCGCTCAGCCACTGCGCCACCGGGGAGGCCCAAATTTCTTTTTTTTTTTTTTTAAAGATTTATTTATTTATACAAGCACTGAGGTACAGGCCAGAGGCATGGGAGGGTGAAAGGATTCACCAGAGACAGAGCAGGGAGCAGAACAGGCAGAAGGACTGAAGTACACTGCTGAGGGGAACAGCAGAGAGACAGGAGAGGTCTGTCGTGCCATATGGGAATCTCCCTGGCCGGGAATTGAACTGGCGCTGCAGAGGCTGCTGACAGCTTCACAGCGCTGTGCCACTGGGGAGGCCCAATAAAGTAAATTTCTTAAGACAGAAGCCCTATCTCACTCATCTCTGCAACCCCAGCATCTATCACAATGACTGGTAGGTGCACAATACAGGTTCAGTGAATGAATTTTTAGCTGGACCCAGGGGCACCCTGGGACCTCCAAACCTGCATGTTATAACACAGGTCCAGCCACAAGGCAAAGCAGGTTCTTAGTGTGAAAGAACTTTACTAGAATTAGTGTGCATAGAGGGAGAAGAGAAGAAAGGATAATAGTTTCCCAACAAGACACTCAAAATTACCCATTCCCTTATGGGTAAATGCCCAGCCAAAGAGGGTTGGCCTGGGCCTCCCTGGTGGCACAAGGGGTTAAGCATAGCACTATGAAACTATCAGCAGCCTGTGCAGTATGAGTTCAATCCCCAGGCAGGGAGCAACTCACATGGCGCAGCAGACCTCTCTTGTCTCCCCGCTGCTCCCCCAGCAGTGCATTTCAGTCAATCCACCTGTTCTGCTTCCCACTCTGTCTCTGGTGAATCCTCTCACCCCACCCCCGCACCTCTAGCCTGTACCCCAGTTCTTGCATGCATGCATAAATAAAAAAAAAACAAAACAACAAAGAAAGCTGGCCTAAGGGAAAGGCACTGAAGCCCAAAAGCTTGCCATAGTCAAAGCACCTTGTGGTATGTGAGTTTCGGTGTGTGTGGGGGGCGTCTCATTGGAAAGGGGTCCTGAAGCAGGTCCCAAAAAGCTGGGACTAAAGGTGATAGCACATCAAGATAACAGCCACGATTGTCAGCCCCCCCACATTTCTCTTACCGATGTGTGTCTTCCAGGTGTCTCTACATGTCTCTCCTCCATGTGTCTCCTACCATGTCTCCTTCCCAACACCGCCAGGGTACATGTCAAGCTGCTTCTGCAAAGAATTCTCCTCCCCTCCTGCCTTATGTGTTATACAGCTTCCCCTGGCTGCTCAGCTCTGCCCATCATTAAGTGGGGAGGGTAACATGGTCCTCCCCCGACTGAATGAATGAATGAATGCATGAATGCATAAATGAGTGAGAGAGTGAATGAGTGGATGTATAAATGGAGCAGTTGGCTGTGGGCATAAAATTTTAAATTCTGCTTACACGTTTTTTGCTCATTCAAAATATAGGTGACAGTATAACTGGGGTGTTCAAGGTTAATAATAATTTTGTCACCAATACTACAAATGTAAGTTCTTTTGAAAGACACAGAATACAGTCACAAAAAAACATTAATAACAATAACACATTTCCTATTAAGGAATAAGTCCATTAAATAAAAAGATAAATTTAATGGTCACATTTTAAGATAATAGCAGAGTAAGATTGAACTAGCCATTTATTCTATAAATATGATTCAAATTTTATGAAAATTCCAAAAGACAGATATAAATGTTAATGAAAATAGCCAACCATAAGTGGACCTTGCTATGGAAAAATGGAAGGCCATTAAAATGGCAATATAATTGCTGTGATAGATGTGGTATATCTTAGCTAAAAAAAATTACAAAATATATATGCATATGACAATAGAGAGAAATCAGTTATGCATTAAGTAAAAGTTAATGTATTATGCACTAAGTAAAAGTTCTTAGAGCAGGTAAGAGATTGAGGTAGTCCATGAATTTTCACTTTCAATTATAGGATTTATCTAAAAATCATGGTCTTCTGGTCCAGAGGGTCTACTTTGCCTGGCATGTATAATCAAGTGTATAATGTGTCATGCAAAGAGATCAAATAAGGGTAGGAGTATTTAAGTGAGCAATACATACTATAGGTAGATTTCAAAACAAAGAGAGTTCTTTTTTCATCAGTGAAAGAAATCATAGCATATAAAGGTGTTAGTAACAATAGCTATAATTAAGTTGTACTACTTAATTGGGGGAAATAGAATTAAACCTGACATAAAGTTTATAATGCTGAATCAGAGAGAGTTGATTCTAACTTTACCAAGATTGTATTGTTATAGGACAGGGAGTTGGGTACCCCCAAACCCCTGCAACTGCCCACTCCAAATAGGTTCTGCCATCCACTGCATCAAGACAAAACATATAAGACCTTCAATGGAAAGGAACTTTAATACAATTAGTGTACAACAAAGAAAAGACAAAGAATATAGTTTTCAAATCAAGCACCTGACGTTACCCATCCCCTTGTGGGTAAGTGCCCAGCCAAACAGAGTTGGCCCAAAGCAAGGCCTCTGAGACCCGAAGTCCTGCCCCAAGTCTAAGACACCTCCTGGTAGGTATCCACAGAAAAGGGTCAGAAGCAGCCAGACAAGTCTGGAGGGAAAAGAGCAAAATCAGAGTCAAGATAAAAGCTGCCATTGTTCACCTCCCCACCAGTCTCTCACCCACGTCAGTTTCAACCAGTCCAGGACCAAGAAGCAAACGCAGCTTCTTCACATGACTCTGCTCCAAGTGCCTCGTCCAGGTCTCCTTCTGACTCCTCCATCCTACTTCCTTCCTTCCCCAATTTCCTCTCCAGCTTCTCCTCCTTCCAGCTCAGCTCCACCCTCCCTTGGGTGGGGCAGGGAACCTGGAACCTCCCCTTTTTCTGGGGACCCCCATTATAGTATTACAAGCTACCAGGACTATGGCTACAGCCAGGTGTGGTTTGCTGAGAAAGAAAGGTGTGTCTTGTGGCTTAGGGTGGTGCAGTGGAAGAAACCCACTGTGGAGTAGCATATGCCCACTAGGAAACACAAGGACTTGCCATCCTGGCTGCTGTGTCTTGTTTTCTAAGTTTTAACAATGTTACAGTCATTCACGGGTAATTTAACTTCTAGCTAGTTTAATAACTGCAATAACACAACATTGAAAGAGCTCCAGCATATTTTAAAAGTAAACATTGCATGATGAACTCAGTAGAGATAAGCCAGTAGACCAAAGACAAAATCCTTTCATATTCTGGCACATAGGAAGGCGGTGACTCATGTTCACCAACAAATAGATTGCTGTTTGTTCTTTGTGGTTTATAAATATCGATCTTTGGCATCTAGAGAGAGAGGGAGAGAGAGAGAAAGACCATCTGTTTTCTGCCTGCTTGGTAACCATCAGAAGACTCAGGATTGTGGAAACTGTGAACTCAGACTTGGCGAGTGTCGATGCTGTGATATCCCCAGCCCTCAGAGCCAGGCGGGGGCCACACAGGTTTTTGGAATTCACCAACTGAATACGTGTCTGTTGAGTCTGCCGCTCTTGTTCCTTGGTGAGTCCCCTGCAGAGGCTGAGAGCTCAAGCCAAGTGAGTGGAACAACTTTTATTTCAGCCACTACACCATAATTTCATATTGTTAAAAGCAAAATTTACAAATTTAGAGATCTAATTGACTTTATGAAATGATTCATAGACTGGGCAGCATCCCATTGAGATCCTGCAAGGGATTACACCAAATGGAGGGTATTTATAGATGGAAAGGGGGGAGGGAAGGTATTAGCAAAAGAAAAAAGGTTATTTCAGGTAAAGCCACCTCCCCTCAGGAAGGCAGGGGTTCTTATCAGGGAGATGACCTCACTGGTGCTGACTGGAAATTCCTTGTTGATGGTTTAGGAGGATGCTTTTGGGAGGGGCTGAAACTGCAATGAGCTCATGTATTCAGGCTGGGGCCCAGTCTACCATCAAACTTAGCATTGAGCTATTTTTTTCCTGAAATCCTGGAATGATTCTTGTGCATGATGCTTTCTTGCTGTAAAGGGCAGGAATGACCACTAAGCAGGTTTTCTGATCCCATGCAGACCGGGTAAAGTAGGAATCGGAGTCCTCAGTGGTTTTGCAGGTTTTTATTGGGATTACCAGGTACATGGCAGGCAGGGGTGCTGGGGGGCTGGTAGGCTGGCAGGCCTCCCAGCCTCCTACAGGTCTTCACTCTGGGCTCTCTGGCCTTCTCTTGGCTTCTGCTGCTCTTGCTTCTCTCTCAGCTTCTGCTGGCGTCCCCATGACGCCGCCCTTAAAAGCCCAGTCTCAGCCCAGGTGAATCCCATCTACCTATGCCCACACCCTAGTCCAGGTGCCGCCATCAGGCATG